AGAGTGATTTGGGTGAGTGTTCTTGAGAGGTTATTGAAAAAAAGTGTGCAAGAGATTTTGGGTTGGTTCGGGGAGCCATAAAAATCAATTTATTGTATTTTAATTTTTTAATAATATAAGAATAGTTTTATTCCGTGGACGTATGTAATAGGCCGAACTACGTAAATTCTTGTGTTTTTCTATTTATTTAATTTCTTTAAGTTTTATCTTTGTTATTTCTTGAGTAAATTTCATAACATAAAGAATGAAATAAATTAAATTTCCTATACTTCTAATGTCGTAAAGCCTTTACTAATGTACTAAAATCGAACAAAAAAAAAAGAAAAAAAGAGAAGCAGTCGTGATACCAAATCTCGGGAAAAGGAATCCCAAGAGCCCGAGGCTACGAGCAGACGACAATGAACCTGTCATCGTGGTTTCACAGCAGTGTTTCGAGGAACAGTAATAAGAGCAAAAATCCAGAGCAACAGCAATCCAACCAGTCCGACCAAAACCAACAGAGCAAAGCAGTAGTAGAAGAAGAAGAAGAATTGTTTGGAGTTACCCAACAATTAATCGATTATGTCAAGTCCTTCACTTCGGAAACCTTCAAGAATTTCCCCCTCCAAGGTATTTCCCCCCTTGTATCTCGCCTTAGAAATTCCAAATGAAATCTGTTTGATTGAAATTTTGGTGCAGATCATGAGGCAGCTAATTCTAACAGTGAAACCCAAACTTCTTCTAATGTGCGTAAGGATCTTTCTGACTGGCAAGAGCGGCATGCTGTCATAGTTCTTGCAAAAGTCAAGGTTTGGATTTTTTTCCATTTCAACCCTTTTTTTTCTCTTTCTGGTAACTTATAATTATGGTTTTCGTCTTCTTTATTTTTTCCCAGGTACTTTCACAGCTTAGATTTCAGCTATGCCCTCGCCACTTGAAGGAGGATAAATTTTGGAGGATATATTTCATGCTTGTCAAGAGCCATGTGGCTGGGTAAGTTTTACAACTGTTCTTTCAATTACTTCTTTTCATGATAATTAGGAATTTGTAACAAGGAACCTATGCATTTGAATCTATGCTTCCACCTTTTTCTTTTTTTTTTGAGTAAGGAGCCGATGAGGCTTGGTCCCTTTAATAAATAGAATGCATTTTAGATGCTTATACTGTCATCTTCTCATAATATTTGTTTACAAATTCATAAAGATCAGAAACCCTTGGTTGAAAATTTTGCCTACATTGGTAATATATCCACTTTTGCTCCAGTGGAAATAGACATCTTGAAAGAAATGCTTGAATTGCTTTATACTTGCCCTCTGTTTCATAATACATGATTATTACACATTGCATCCTTTTTTCCATGGCAAGCATTACATGCTGAAAACTGAATTGCAGCAAAGCTAGTTTTTGAGTTGCTGTACACACAACATAATATGTTCCCTGGTGCTTCTTCAATGTGATGTAATTATAGCTTTTTGGAGATCTAAAGCCCCTGTTTACCATAAGAATGCTAGGGTAAACCTGTAGAATGTAATGCCCTGATGTGGTTTTTGTTATGGCTTCAAGATTGCCTAAGGAATAGATGATATCCTTTGCTAGGCTTGCACCTAAAAGTTGTTGATACTTGTTCTCATTTGAGTACAATTTTTAGGAGCATTCTTATACTTGGCAAGCAATTTTTGCCTCAAAAAAGTAAAATAATAGAGAGAAGAGAGGGGCGGGGGGGTATCTGGGAGATGTTATGTTGCATGATTCAAAGTTTGAAATGCTCTGATGCTTTGTACTTGATTGCTGATATCTTTGCTGCCTTTGAGCTTGTTTGTTATGAATAAATGTGATAAATCATAATTATCCTCATATGGCATGAAAGGTGCACTTTTTCATTCACAAGTGAGCAGGGAAGAAAGGAAAGTGCCAGTTTTGTCACATATGATTTTGAAAAGAAAGAAAAAAATGAAGTCCTGAGTTGAGTCTGAGTCATTTGAAATATTTAAAAGAGATACTGCATTAGTTGGAGACCAATGTAACCAGCTGCATTCTATATCAGTATAGATGATCTTCTATGTTTTGGCTAGCCAAAAGCATATTTTACAAAGCTGAGAATTTATTTGGTTTTGTGAATTCCTAGAAAAAGAAATAAGAAATATTAAATTACTACCCATTCTAGCATTTTCTTGCCATACTCGTGCTTGCTTCACTCCCTTCATTAATTTAAACATTTTGGCCACCAGTTTTCACCATTATTCTTTATGTCACCACGCAAAGAACCTGCTAACAGCGGCACTGGACCAAGAACAACGCCATTGCTGCACTGCTACTACCAGATGGCCAGCACCATGTTCTTTTTTCTAGTTTGCTGACCTACCATCATCTCTGCAACTTTATCACTACCACAGCAGCTACATCCCCATAAAGTTCAATTCCTTTTCTGGACTAACATCTGACCTATATTTACCTGGAGAATTCATTTTAAAGGAGCCCAAAATGCTTTAGCATTGGAAAAGTTTCTTCACCATCAAGTGTCACAGACTCACAGTGAATCTTTTGGGTTGCACATGCCTTGACAGCACCACTGTAAGAATCTTTTCAGTAATTAGCAGTATTCTTTTTCCATATGAGGATTTTTGGCTCCGTCATATTGGCCCACATGTATGAACCAGCTCTAGCTGGCTCACAACGTTGGTGATTTTTCCCTATACTTATTTTCTTCTTCTTTTTATATTTTATGAAATCATGATCAAGATTTAGAAAATAAGCAAATTGCTTTGAATAGAAACCATGACTATTGCTTATTCTTTCAATTGCATTATATTGTGAACATTTTGTCTTTGTTAATCATGATTTTTACCTCTCTTTTTGTTGCCTACTGGTTCAGTTGTTTAAGATTTTGAGTATCCTCTTATTAATTGTTGTTAATCACTGATGCATGCACCCACAAACCCAATATATCCAAGTTCAGAGGCTTTTCTTCTTGTTTATCAGATATGAGCTGCAAGCTGTACTACTAGCTAAACTAAAAGGGAATTCTATGTCGAATGAGAAAACATTGGATACCAGTGCATATGAAGTTGAAATGGCAGAAAGAAATCAAGCAGCTAGTATTGCACCATCAACTCCATGAGTCCAACTTGCATTCCTTTTGAGGAAGAGCAGGTATGAGACCATTCAGCGAGAAAAAAAAGCATGGTCATGTATGCTCATTTCCAGTGCTAAAATTGCTTTCATTGAGATATGAACGTATATTTTGACCGCAACTGAAGTAAATTTAATGGAAGATCATGAAATGGTACAACAACTACATGCGCTTGTTGAAGGGATCTGATAATTCACTCTACACATAGAAAACGGTGCCAGGCCTTTTCTTCATTTTCTGTTTTTTTTTTTATTGTTTGTAGACACAAGGTGCTGGCAGCTTAAGTTATATATTTAATTTGTAAATCAAAATAGTTGCAGCATTGTTCCTTGTTGGCGTTCACTTAATAACTCATCATGTTTTGCATATATTTGCATGAAGCAGTTTATCAGTGTATCTTTATTGGTTTGCATTGTAAGTTTCTAATAAAATTAAAAAAAAAGAAAAGAAAAGGAGCTTCTAATAAACAACTGTCTTAAGTGTCTGCCAGGTTTTTTTCTCGTTTGTTGAGAAAAAATGAAGAAAAACCTTTGCTTGTAAGCAGGTTATGAGAGAAAGAACCAAAAAGAGGCTTAGATCACTGCCCATGTTGATTTTTTACCTGTAAAAACCATGAAAAAAATCCAAAAAACTTGGAACTCTTTTTACCAAAAAATTACCTTTGATATGGGAATTCTAAAAAGAACTAAACAATCCGAAAGCTGGGCAATTCGCAGGATTAGGAACATTAAATGTATTGGTAATTCACAGGATTAGGAACATTAATGTATTGGTAATTCATAGGAATAGGAACATTACTGTTACCTCCCATGGAGTGCATGGGTTTTTGGATTTTCTGATTTATTATACATTACATATTTGAATGCTTAACTTTCAGTTCACTGAGAATCTGTTACCTATCTACAGTATTTGGTTATGCTTGATGCAAATGAGACAGTAAACAAACTGTCACCCCTGGTTGATTAATTCCTGTAGATAGATTTGGGTTTTTTGTTCTTTTCTTTTTGTGTTGAACAGAAAAGCAGCCTGCTTACGGGATTGGCGTCAGCCCAATTAGGGACCCAACTGACATGTACCTTATTGGCTGGATTCTGGAGCATGGTGTTAGAACTGTTGCACAGTCCACAAAGCATGGCGTGTAGGTGCATGCTTTTCTTGGCTCATGTTCTTGTCAACTCCAACATTAAATTGCCGGTGGTGATCGTCCTCTCAACACTTGTATACTTACCCTGTCCGTCCTGAAAAAAGGACTAAAAAACTGTTTTTTTTTTTCTCTTCCATTTATCGTCCTTCCTCAGACCGACCTCTACCAGTCAATGCCAAATCTGAGCAGCATCACTGATGACAACTCCATAAGTGCCTACATCAATGTCAAATAGTAGTAGTCTCCACCCTTTTTCTATATTTCGTAAGCAATAATTCAGTTTTATAGATGTATAGATTTGTTCTGAAAATGCCACTGCAATGAACTCATATAGTGCAATCTTTAGGACACAGCATGCAATTTACGTACTTCCTGAAAGAGTTAATAGGCATGGCCTGTACTCTTTGCAGAACTGGTAAGCAAGCAGACCAGAAGATTTTTATAGGCAAAAAATGCATGACAAATATTCATAAGCCATCTTTTCTTCCTAATCAAGCTTATAATGTTTTTAAAGACAACATTTCAAGAAATTTGCCTGCTAATTACGAGTAAGAAGCTTTGTCTTGCTCCCTTCTGCCATTTCTTTTGCAACCGAAAGCATGAATTTTGGTTCACCTGCCAGCCTAACAAAGTTCTCAACTTCCAGTCGTCTACAAGGTAATGAATGAATGCTAATGCATCCACAGGCACAGAAATGGAAATACCAATAGATGAGAGAAAAAGAGAACATCGCCAAATCAAATCTAACGTTGAACTTGTTGGAACCTGTTACGGTTCTTACAGAAAAAGCTCTGTCGAACCGTACAGTATCCCATGTGAATAGGGCACACTCACTCACACAAAGGTCTTTGCATTCATGTACATTCAATTAATGCTCACTTGACAACCTGAGCAGCTTTATTGCTTCACCACAAATTTCAGAGGGAAAAAGCAAACAAAGTTATTATAGAAAACAAAATTAAACGAACACCAATAAGAAATAAATAAATAAAAAATTACTGTCAGAAATGGCAGAGGACCTGAAGCTCTCCAGTAAGATACACTTCTACTACAGAACAATCCATAGCATATGCTACTTCAATGGCCCACTACCACCAGTGTTCTTGAATCCCAAATCTCCAAACATAATGCTGCGAGTTTCTTGTCCATCAATCAGAACCGGCATTCACCAAATTGGGCTGCTAGGGCTTTTAATCTCTTTCTGGGGTTGAAACCATTCTGAGACTGAACCCACTTGAGCCTCAAAATCTGGTTAGTAGTTACAATCTTAACTTGCCTGTCCAATAGTCTTGAAACATTCATTTGGAGCTGAATGAAATATTTTTCTTTTTTTGAAGACAATCTTGTGCTACATACATGGACTTAGTCACTGAGAGATATCAACAGCCAAACTTATATATCCGATTAATTGCAGGTTAGTAACGCTGTTTCATCTCATGATGCTATAAAGAATTAAAAAGAAAAAAGAATAAGGTTGGGTCTGGGGAGGGGGAGGGGTGCAAAACATGGAAAAAGACAAAAGGCACTTTAATGACAAATGACTTGCATTTATTTCCAGAGCCCATCCATGTTCATCCCTACCTGTGTATACACAAAAGTGAAGCTACATGGACAAGAGACAGGAACAAAAAAAAGAAACCTAGAAACATGATGTACCTCCTAATCAATTACAATAAAGGAAAAAGCAGCAAATTCCTAACAAATTATTTCTTTTTCCTTTGAGCAAAGGATTTCGGGTATAAAATTGGCTAGTGTAATTCATCAGCTCTGTTATGTTACAGATCTTTAAATTACACACCTTAGTTCAGGCTCAATCAATCTTTACATTAACTCGGAAGAGCAATGGTAGTATTATACCACACTGCTTGCTTTGAAATCTTGAGCATAAAATTAATCAGCAAGTTGCAGGGAGTAGAGTTTAGTGGGCTCGGCTTATGGAGTCACTTGCACCCACTCATAGCGGCCTGGGAGGGGCATATCCTTCACAACATCGAAATTATACCTACAGAATCCAAGCATATTCATTAAGACTCAGTCAGCTCAGCCAAGCATCAAAGTCATTCGGAGTGGAAACAAGCAGCATTGCTAAATTGTAATCACCCAGCAGATCTACGCCAGGTAACCTTAAATGATTAAAAACAACGAAAGAAGCTTACTTCTCAACGAATTGTTGCTGCTGTTGCTGTTCTGCACAGGCAAAAAACTCCTCCATTTCATGCGTAGTTGGGATAAATCTCTGCATCTCATTCCACCCTCTTCGTTGAGTTGAAGGGGAGCTTCTCCGCCTTGTGGTCGAACCGGGAGTTGCAACAGTTTCTGAGTCCTTTATCAAGCTACATGGTGTGCTTTCCCTAGTGTTCCTGTATAAAATCAACAAACTATCTATAAGAATGAAACAACATCACTTTTACCTTACAAAAAAAAAAATCACTATAAAATACCAGCACAAGCACAAAGAATTTCTTATACTATCAGTTACCAGAATAAAGATGCACTGAAGCCATACAATATTCACTTCCGATCATGCTTAGAACTTGCCCTACAACTAAAAACTACCCCCTCTTTTCTGTGCTCAGCAAAGTAAAAGCTATTTTAGACATTAATTAAATCTCTTAACTAATAACAAAAAAAAAAATTAATATTCGCATTAGAGTGGAAGAGGAACTCATATAATGAAGGTACGGGCATTTAAAAGACACAAGCTTACATTTGGCAAGGAGCAGCAACAATAGGATAAAAAGCAAGAAATCTGCAACTTGTTGTCACTTACAGATAGACCCAAAACAGAGAATCCCACATTCATGTGTGGGTCTGAAACTAGGCCCCCTGAAGATGATATATCATTGCTAACACAAATGAGGCAGAACAGTTATTGCTGCCCAGTATTGCCAAAAGTTCACCTTTCTTATTTTTTTTCTTTTCACTTTATTAATTAACAGGAAAAGGACAAGAAAAGCCAAAAATTACAAAGACTTCCTACCCGGAAGATCAAACACACTGGTTTTTCTCTTCTGGTACAAAGGTACTTCCGATTTCCCATATAGAACCTAATCTTTTCTAGTTATTAACATATTCCGTGCAGCTAAAACTACTGAATTATTTGAGGGTCAAGACTTATCAAATCTCAACCTCTTTTATTATTTTCATAAGCAACACCCGTAAAATGAAGCATTTTATTTTATTTTCTAGTGCAGTTTTTACCATATGGGAAAATGCAAGTTGAACAATAATGAGCCTGCTGAGGAGGTACAGACGGTTTCAGAAACACTGTCTATTTCTCATTGAAAATAATCTCTCATAAGTCACAAGCATTCAGTAAACTTTTACGTAATGACTTGTATGCATCACAAGAAAGTGAAATGGAAAAACACAAAAAAACAAGTTAAAAGTTTGTTAAAAAAAATTAATGATGTACCAACTTTCAATGAACAGGTAACATGTAGAAACACAGAGATATTGTTTCAGTGAAGTTTCTTTTACTATTTTTGTAATGTTTTAGTCCATGGAGCAGCCTACTATCAAAACCCAAGAAAACTAGCAGAACAGACAGAAGAGTAAAAACACTTCATAACTCTCTTCTTTACAAAATGTCCAATATAACAGCCACTAGAAAGAACAAAATAAAAGTCCATTTTCAGACCCCAAAAAAAAAAAAAGCCATCTTTGAAAAATGCAAACACATCTCATTTGAAGTGTCAAATAGAAGAAACAAGGGAAGAAAACTAACCAAAGCAAATAGCAAAGACTGGCAATGAAAGAGAAATGTGAAAGCCCCCAAAAGAACATAAGTAAAAGGACGTGACGCTAACAAAAGAACTGGAAAAAGGGAAAGAATGATGGAAAAAGAAGAGGACGCCAACTGAAAAACGAAAAAAAAAAACCCTCAAAGATCATATTTTGAAAATCTTATCAGCCGAACCAAAAAAGCAATGCTGAAAAGTGCCAAAGCCTGAAAGCCCAAAAAAAAAAAAAGAAGGAAAATTTTTTAGAAGAAAATAACTAAAGAAGAAGAAGAAAAGCAGAGGAGAAAGAAAAAGTACCTGTCTCTGGGATCAAAATCCAAATTGTTCTCCCCAAAAGAGGTCTCTTCTGTTTCATAGCAAAGCCCCACTCCCTCAACCATTTTCCTGCTTTTACCAAAACACCCTTCACTTATCTTCTCACCATCCTTATTCTTCTTCTCTTCTCTGCAACCACTCTCTTTCCCCTGTTGTTTCTGTTTGGTATCATTCGAAACAGGGGAAGGCAACTTCTCCAGCCTACGGCTCCTTAGCTGAAGATAACAAAAGGAAGAGACGTCTGGGGTTGAAGCAACGACTTGGGCAGGTGCAGGAGAGGGGGTTGTTTTCTGGAGTCTTTGTAAAGCTAGGGTTTTAGCAGCCCTGGTTCGGGCACCCAAGGTTGACTGATGAGATACTTCCATGACTGCTATGTCCCCTGTTATCTTGGATTTTTTCATGTACTTTCCCATATTGTTTTGCCCTCTGCCTCTGAGGAAAAGGGTTTTGATTTTAACTACTGCTATGTATGCCAAGATTGGGTATCTAAGAAGTTGTTTTTCTCTTCAGGGGAAAAACAGATTGAACAGAGGTTTTAAGGGAGAAGAATGGAGGGAGGGAAAGGAGGGACCAATTTTTGTATCTGAAAGAGGGAGGGAGAGAGGGAAGAGGAGAAATGAAAAGAAGAGAGAAAAGTTAGGGTTGCGATTATGGGGACAGCGACCCTTTAATTTTTCATTATATTTTTATTAGCTGCCTGGCCCATTCAGATATTTATAAATACTACTACTTAAATCCTTCTGGAATTTTGTCAATAAAAAAATTAGAAAAAAAAAAAAGGGCTTTTGTTATTTTTACTTTTTCTTGAAAAACAATTGACTTGTTTAAACTTTCAGTGCTATCAGCACTTCCATATGAAATCTTCCTATTACTCTCCTCATTTTCATCCATGATTTTGTAAATACCAAAGGCAGATGATGGAGCTAAATACAATTTTCTTCTTGGAAACAAGGTCATTATTAAACCTCTTTTGTCAACTTTCTTGTTTATAATTCACATAATAACCTCACAAAATTTTGTCTTCAATTTTTTCAAGTATGTAATTTATTATGGTGTAATACTCGAAAAAACCTTTGAATTATTTAAAAAAAAATACAAATAAGTTTTTATTATTCTATTTAGTTCAATCAAACCATTACACTTTATTTTAACTTAAATAAATTCTTTTGATTAATAGATGACTAATTACAATTAGTTAAATTTTATCACGTGACATTGACATGATATTAATATGAAAGGTAAAAATATCATATGATCATTTCATCATACCATGTTATCATTTATTATGATATATCAGCGCGTCACGTTAGTATTATGAAATACAAATTGATAAGTGACGTTTTGACTAAATCTATTATTAGTTATAAGGATTTATTTAGATCAGTATAAAAACACAAGAACTTATTTCACTCAAAATAAAATAATAAAAATTTATATGAATTTTCCTAAATAGTTGATGGATTATTTTATATATTATACCATTTGTCATTTTATATTAGCAATAATTATTTCTATGTTTCTAACGTTTAATGATGGAAAATGTATTTACAATTAATAAAAAGAAGAATAAATGTTTATAATTGGGAATTGTGTAGAACATTTGAATGGAAGTCCTCAATCCCAGCTTAGTGCTTCTTATATAATTTTACGTCACGTATTTAATAAACTTTTTACATTCTAGTTATATTTATCGTTAGGTTATTTGTTTCTACTATTAAGGTTTATGATTCAAGGTTTAAGGTATAAGATTTAGGATTTATGGGTTAAAGTTTTTGGTTAATAGTCTTAGATTAAAAAGACTAAAAACATGATACAAAATTATAAAGCAGGCTTCAAACGGGGGCACCAAGTAAGGATAGAGAATTTTTATTCAAAACATTTAAAGGTAAAACTTGAGAATTATGGATAAAACAATTAAACTTAAGACTTTGATAAGATTATTTAAATAAATATCCTTAATAAAGTTCATGAGCTTTATCTCTATCAAGAATTTAGAAAAAAAAAAAGGAAGAAAGAAAGAAATACTCCTTAGGAAAATTTTGTCTTAGGAGACTTATAGAGTAACTTTACTTTTGACATGTTGCTACATATTTGAAATAAAACTTCATAATAGGGAATTAATCAAATAATCATTCTTGAAAAAGTCACTTAATTATTTAAGAAAATTTAAATAAACTCTTGTTCTTCTAAAGTGTTTAATCAAGTCTTTGTATTATTATTTTAGAAATTAGTCTGACTAACAGCTGACTAATTGTCATTAATTAAAATATCATATATCATTTTATGTCCATATGGCACTGACATTGTGTTGATGTAGATGGTGAAAATGCCACATTACCATATCAACATATCATGTCATCATCCATTATGACTTGTTAACATGTTAACATGCCACGTTAGCTCTTTGTGGCATAAAATGATAAATGACATTTTGACTAATAATAATTAATCAACCATTAGTCACAAGAACTTATTTGACTCAAAATAAAAGTATGAATACTTAATTAAATACAACAAAAAATAAAAACTTATTTGAAATTTTTTTAAATAATTCAAGGACTTTTTTAAGTATTATGTCAATAATTATTTATTGTTATAATTCTTCATGATTCTTTATTAAATAATCTAACATGTTAAATAACTGGTAAATTAAAGGACAAGCCCAAAGAAATATACCTCAAAGGACCCACTTTGTTTGGGCCTACTATACATTGGGTAGTGGGCTAGTATGTCTCTTGATTAGGATCGAGTTAGCTTCAACCCATTCTTTTTCTTATTTTCTTTCTTTTTCCTCAAAATGACAGTTTTGGAAGCATTATATAAATCTTCAATCAAAACCCCAAAACCATTTTTTCTTCCTCATCCTCTCCCTAACCTAACAACTTCTCTCTCAACTTTTACATAAAGCCACATTTCAAGCGATAGGCTTATCATTGACCATCGTCCACTATTAATGGTCTTGTTCGTCAACATCTATTTTCACCTAGAGAAATTTTTTTTCTTCCTCTCAACCTCTTTTTTTGTTTAATCAATCTACGTTTAGGTTTCTTTTTGTTGTTGTCAATATAATTTTGTTATTGTCAATCTTGGTTTCCTTTTCCCCTCACTTCTTCTTTTCACTGTTTGCTCCTTAAGAAACTAAAACTAAAACCTTACCATCTCCAAACACTCACTACCTTCCACTGCCATCATTGTCATCGTCTCGTTGATTTTTTTTCCTTTCCTTCTTTCTTTTCCCTAAATCGAAAGTGTATAAGAAACTTCTCATAATCTAAAAAAGATTAAAACCTAACCCATGCCTTCCATTGCCCTTCATTTTTCATTTTTTGTTACTTACTTTTCTTGGGTATTTGTTGGTTTTTTTTGTGTGTTTATTGGTGTAAGTTTTTTTGTTAACGGTGGTTGTTATTTATGATGGCTAGGATGGTAGTTCTTTTCTTTTGTGATTTTTTTCGATATAGGACAGACCTAGAGACTTTTTATGCAAATGTAAACTTTGGTGTTGTGTGAGTGAATTTTGGTGTTGTGTGAGTGACGGTGACTGAGAAATTTGAGTGTCTATAGGGCTTTTGAATGACATGTGACTTTTAAGGTGGTTGTTTGTGGTGATTGGGTGGACAAGAAAAGTTCTTAGTTTAAAACATTTAAAGATATGAGGTTGTCCTAAACATGTAAGAAAAAGTAATGTAGATAAGTCGGACTCAAGAATTGATAAGTGCTTTTTTGTTGGATTCCAAAAATACATTTTGGCTATTACTTCTATAATCCTTTGAAAAAAAAAGTTTTTGTGTGAAAAAATGCTACATTTTTAGAAAAGGACTTTAGTCTAAAAAAAGTAAAGCTAAAATAATTCTTGAAGAACAAGTTCTTCAACCAATGATAGTAGTGAATGACAACAATGAAGAACCTATTCTGACTTCCATTGAACCTATGCAATCACAAGAATGAGATTAATCAAGTGGAACCAGTTGAACCAGATCATGGTCATTTTACATACGAAAGGGCTATAAGTGATAGAGATGTTGTTCAGTGGCAAAAAGCGATGGAATTAGAGATTGACTCAATGTATTCTAATAAGGTATGGACTCGAATGTATAAATTAGAAAGTGGTAAGTTAATCAATTGTAAATGGATTTACAAAAGAATATTAGGACCAAATGGAAAGGTAAAAACCTATAAAGTATGGCTAATGGCTAAAGATTATTTTCAAAAATCTAGAATTTGATTATGAGGAAACTTTCTCGTGTTGACTCCATGTGTTTTTTATGATAACAAAACATTCCTTATTCATTAGTATCTAATTATATCATTTGAGTGTATAGGAGACAAATTAAATTCTTTAACATTTTTGTGATTTGAAAGCAAGGTAAAAAACTTTTTCAGTTGTAAGATCAGTTAATCAATTATATTAAGAATAAAGTACTTAATAGAGATAGATTAGTCTTAACCAATTATCAAGGATCTTTAATTAGTTAAGGCAGTACTAGGCGTTACACAAAAGTCAGGCATAATAAGCTTAATCGGTTAAGAGGGTACTGTATGCAAAGCAGAAGCATGTTAATCAGTTAACCAAAAGGGTTAATCAATTAAAGGTCAAACTTAGAATACCTAAAAGCACTAAAATTTAAATTCAAAATGATGTTAACCATTGAAAGGTGACAAATGAAATAATTCAATTTTGAAGAACTTCTAATCGATTAAAGCTTAATTCAACCGGTTAAAAAAGAAAAAAGAGAAGCTTTAATTAGTTAATAAGAAGACTAATCAATTAGAGAAAGACTAATGAAAAATGACATTCGAAGAAGTCTGAAAATAGAAAATTCTTAATCGGTTAAAGGTACCTTTAATTGGTTAATGCTATGAAGTAGACTACAAGTTAAAGAGTCTTTAATAAGTTAGAGCTCATCTTAATCGATTAAAGAATTGCTACCATGAATTTGATTTTAACTACTAAAAGACAAAATAATAGCTAAAATTGACTAAAACTATCTCCAGTGTTTAGAATTTGTCCTTCAAGTATTTAATGGTCTTCAAACAGTCAAAAATGCATAAAGGAGATACCAAAAGAGTATTTGAGCTTAAAATTTTCAAAAACCTTCTCTTCACAAGTGTATTTCACTCCTACTCTTTGTAAACTTGTTTAAACTTGAGCTTGTACACATTAGATTAGTTGAGTGATCATTGTACTTCATCTTTTTCTTAGTTCTTGATTAATTAGAGTGTGTGTTACACTTTAAGGGATTGTTGTAAGGGTTTAGAGCTTGGATTAGAAGCTCACTTAGTAAAAGCTTGGTGGAAGCTGTTAATTCCACTAGTTTAGTGAAGTTGAGTTGAAAATCCTTGATTGAAAGATCAAGGTAGTGGATGTAGGTCAAGAAGATCGAACTACTATAAACACTTGTGTTTTGTCCACTTTTCTTTACCATCTCTTTACTTGGTGTGTTTTAACCTTAACAAGTTTTAAACTCTCCTCCTCAAAATTGTTCAAAAGATTTCAAAACTTATGAACTTCCTTCAAAATAATTTTAGTTTTATTCACCCCTTCTACTGCTTTTTTGAGACTAACAAATGGTATTAGACCTAACCCTTGAATTTAAGGCTTAACATATTTAAATGAGATTCAATGATTACACAAAACTTAAATGTGGTT